TTCCATATTACCACCCGATTTTCTCTAAGCCTACTTTCGGACTTTTTGTACAAAAGCCTTCAAAAACCATACTTATAATTACACTAGCGAAAAATCCAATTAGAAACATTTAGTTTACTAGTTACCAGTACTTTTCGCACAAAAAATGTGGGTGTAGTTATGATACCTTGTTTACAATTCACTAAAATGTAATTGGGGTTCCATAATACCACCTTCTCCTCTATATCATGTATCAGATTGTTTCTATAGAATCATAAATCAAAGATCTGGACCAATGGTGTCCAACTTCTTGATTACAGGTCAAATTGTACATAATTTGTAGGTAGGCAGGCTACACATATTTTGTATATTCCATATAAACAAAAAGTATGTCTATTTCTATCATTTATAAGTGATATATCAAATGTGTTTGTAGACTGGATTAATTTGTGCCATGGGACTGATTTGGCCTGGAGGTAGTTGTTTGGGCTCATTGATCTATCAAAACCCTACAGAAGCTAGAATAGTAAATAATAATTACCTTAAATCACCTTAAACACTACTACAGTAGAACCTCAAAAACTCGGCCTAATGTGGACCAAAGGGTGACCAAGTTTGTGAAAATGCCGGGTTATCAGGAATGCGGTTAAAAAAGGATAAGTATGCGTGTTTCCTCAGAAAATAGTGTATTGTACTTCTATGTATTGTTTGCTGGAGAATACAACAGAGAATAAACTGCCCAAATACCCTTAAACAAAGGAAAAGTACGTACTTTATGAAGGCATAGAGCCTTTACTACATGAAAATGAAAATTAACAAATACACTGTGTACAGTAATTTACCTGATAAGACAGACCTCAGAAAAATACTTTTAACTTTATGAGAGCTTTTATACTTTTATAAAGCTGTCTATAATGAAAATTAATTAACTAAGGAATTTTTTGCCCTGCCAGGGTGTGACTGAGTTATCCGGAGTGCCGGGTTATCGAGAGCCGAGTTTTTGAAGTTCTGCTGTACCAGTAGATAGCTTTATCACAAACATTTTCACCTTCTTAAGTAAAGGTTTTTTTGAATGCATAAAAACTCAATTATCTCTCATTTGGCAAAATTTATTTTTGATGAAAGACAAGTATGTAAATTCTGGTATTGTTGTTAAATTGATTTAAACATGATAATAAATGTATGGGAAAAATTTTTAAATTGTTTAAATTTTATAACAATTCAAAATGAATAACTAGATAATAAGAAGTCGAGTATGTAAAGGTGTTTTAAAGGTTCAAACCTTACAAACATTTGTAATTTAATGGATAACAAGTTAAATGTGCAAAGGAATTTTATGGTTTTAATTTTCAGTAATCTGTAATCTAAAAGTTGGCTAAAGAGGGGCAAGAAATGCCTGAAACGTATACAAATACAATGAACACGTATCATCTGAATAAAATTTAATGATGAGATTTGCCAAGTGTCTGAATAAATACAATATATGATTTGTGTTCAAATTACTAAAAATTACTGGCACGGTTTCAAAAATAGCAGAAAAATTTATTCAATCTTTTCAATTCAATCAAGCTTGTTATTATACTTAAGAGACTGAAAATGTTTGCATGCTGAAGAAGCTATCTGTTGGAAGTAGTGTTTGAGGCAATTTAAAATAATTATTTCTCACTGATCTAGATAGCCAAAATATAAAACCATCATAGTTTATCATTTGAGAAATCCTTATTGAAGAATTTTCTTTTGCTTTTTCAATATCTACCAATTTCTTTGGTAGCTTGAAAAACAACTAATTTTCACATATGTATCCAAAAACTGATAGTTTTTATGAAATTAACATTTTTTTCTTATTTCAAAACTTGAAATATTTATGCAGCCAGAAGTGATGTGTTGTATAGTTTCTGGCATGATGTGACATTTTCTGCATGTGTTGTATCTTTGAGTATGTGTTTTCTGTAGTTTTTATTATTTCTGACCTGATCCTGTATGGCAGTCATGAATCCTTCCATCTCCCCAGAGAGGCATCCTTGAGCTAACCAGCTGTTTGATGCTGTTTTGTCAACAAAATCCTGGACCAGGTCTTAAGGATGCCTGCCATGGAGTGCCTTTCAAGCCCATGATTGCTTAATGGTGTCTATGATTTTTATAGGTTGTGTTGTGTCCATATGATGTGAGTGTAAGTTTGATGGTGTGTTATTTGAGTCTGCTAGAGTTACTTATTTATGTAACTGTGATGTTTCTTCTTTTTATAGAAAAACTCTTGCAGTGTCTGTATTTGTTTGTAGTGAAGGTTTACTATGTTGGTCAGGCCACATCTATCATCTTTATATGGAAGGGTTAATTTTTCTATGATGATGATTATTATTATTATGGCATTTAATTAATTGTGTTATTTTTACTAATAATAAATTAAAACACAAAAACAATAAATAATAATATACATAAATACTGTATAATTAAATGAAAATTGTATTAAGTAATTGCATACCATTGACTTTGTCATCATCTTAAATATAGCTTTCAGATCTATCATGTGTGTACTGATTTTGTGCTTTGTGATAAGTTTTTTTTCACCTCAATCGTCAATATTGCAGCCTTCCTCTTAGACTTTGTTGCTTCCACATAATACTCAAATGCTATGGTTAATAAATAAAGGTTATATTGGGTTGAACAGAAAGATTTTGCATATTTTTGTTGTTACTTAACATAGATTTATGATTTAATTATAACAATTGTGAAATTTAACAAATTATTGCTAATGTGAGATTATATACAGTCGACCCTCCTATAATTACGATTCCTATAAAACTACAAAAAAATATACGTATTTTGGAAATGTTGAGTCGGATTAGTGTAGAATCAATTAATTTTATGGAAGAAAACCTTTCAATCAGCCGTAGTCCGTAAACTTGACACGTGTCAGGCTGTGATTGGAACGACTTGTAAGAAATCGGATTCCTAATAAATTGGAACGTATCTATATCTTATAGGGGGGTCGACTGTATATTCTTTGTTTAAAAGCATATTTTAAACTTTTTACTTCACATTTTGTTTGAATAAAATGAAGTTGGAAATATCTTCAGATAAAAAGCATATCAAGCATATTATGCTTTGAGTTTCAGAAAGATTTTAATTCCATCAAACAATAAAAAAAGAAACAAAATGTAATGTGTATGGGAAACGTTCTCCTAAACTTCAAACATGTCAAATGTGATTTAAAAAACTCTCTAATAAAATGAATTACACTTTACGCTTACATTTAAATATGTAAAATGTAGTTGTGTTATGGCTTTACTGTTTGCAACTATTTAGAGTTTTTATGCTCTAAATAGGTGCTCGCTAGTACTTTCAGTAGTATAAAGCTACCATCTTCAGGCAAATATCAAATATAAATATTTTTCAAACAATTAGCTTTCGAACAAACTTATGAAAAAACAAATTGAATACAGTTTGATTTGTTTTTTTTGTTTGTTTTAAATTCACTAATTGGATTGAAATTATTATATATCAAAGCCACTACTAGAATGCTCTGCCTCTGTCTTGCAGAACATTGCGATGATGTTGCACTTAGCAACTGTACAACAAAGTTAACTAAAAAGGTAATAGAGAGCAAGTTTGAGCCGCTTTGGTTTCAAACTTATTTTCTAAAACACTGTGGGGATCAAAAAACGTTATTCTCATGGAAATCTCTTTACATCTCAGCAATGTCACCATGTAACTCTCCCATACTACACATACTGGAGCTATGGATATCACTGTTTAATCTGCTAAAGTTGTAAGTCATATGTTTGTGATAAAATACCTCACAATCATTAGTGCCCAAACATTTATTATTTGTTTATTGTCCATTTAATTCATTATTAATTATATACTTTATATTTTAATCCAATTTTATTTCATTGTTTTCCTTTTACATATTATCATATTTTGAATTGTTGTATAAATTTTTAAAAAATTGTATGTGTGTAATTTATATTCCATGCAAATGTGGGACAAGCAGTTTGAAAAAATGTTGGTTTCTATTCAGATTCTATCACTTGAATTTAAATGTTATGTTCTTTGTAAACAATTTGCATGAAGAGGACAGTTGTATACTGTTGAAAGTACTTTCATAATAAATTTTTTTTATGTAACACCAACAGACAGTTCTGTACATTATTTTTCTAATAGTATTTGGCATGTATGATTATTTAAATTTTATTGCTTTTTTTTTATTATATTTGTTATGACTTTAGTCAGGTCTGCATTAATTAGTTAGGTGGTTGAAGACAATGTTTAACATAGCTATGCCAAACCATCCTGAAAAATTCTGAGTATATGATATGTATTCAGATTTTATTGACTGCTACTCCCTCAAAGGGAATAGCAGTCAATAAAATCTGAATACATATCATATACTCAGTCAGTAAAAACATTTCAGTCAGTCAGTAAATACTCAGTAATACATCAGTAATACTCAGTCAGTAAAATAGCATATACTCAGTCAGTAAAAAAGTAGCAGTCAATAAAAATAATTGTTGGAACTTGACATGCTGGAACTTGACATGACTGCTGCTTTGACTGCTACTCCCTTTGAGGGAGTAGCAGTCAAAGCAGCAGTCATGTCAAGTTCCAACAGTGGCTGATAGTAGTTTGTGAGTTCATGCTTGATCAATAAACTGGCTATGTAGAGTTTTCTTCATATGCCTAAACTCTAAATAGGAGCCAGTTTTCCATAGAAAATCCTTCTGGGAAATAGCCTCTCTTGGCAGATCACTATATGCTGTGTTACCATATCCCATCAAACAAACATTGACTACAAATCATATTCTCAGAATAAATACTCCATAGGATGCCAAATGATTGACCAAACATATCTTTTTTACATTTTAAAAGCATTTAAAAAAAACTAAACTAACTATATGATGATGTTTATATAATTTAATTTTATGAATAATAATTAATTTTACAAATTATTCTTTCTGTCTGGTAAGAAAATATTCTGCTTTTAAAATATATTGTCTTCATTATTTTGTTTTTATTTTTAGGTAATCTCTTATTTACCTGGGAAAGCTGCAGTTCCTCTGATGAGTCAAATGAGAAGGAACAATGAGTGATAGTTCTTCTGGTCCTCCCACTACCACTAATGGTGGTAAGGAGCCCACTATGGGAACAAAGCCCATGGTGGGCTCCAGTGAAACATCCTGGACCAATGATGATGGTCTCAATGTGCATTCATCTTCATCAATTGAACCTTCCTTTACAGGATGTGATGATATACCAACCAACTCCATATCAACAACTGTGACAGGATGTAATTTGCTGCATTCATCAGAAATTGCCAAATCTCCAACAGAATCTACATCACAATCATCAAACATTCATTCTGAAATGAATCATCCATTAGATTCTAAATTGAATGCATTATCATTGCCGACAGATAATGTAGAACATGTTGCAACTGATGGTTCAGAATTGTCCTCATTACAGGAGCATTCATGCATATCAGAAGCAGTTTGTACTATTTCATTAACAGAAAAAGAATTAAATATGTGTACTCCACAAATAGAGGAAAATAGTTCTCATACAGGATTTCTTTCTGGGGAAATAGATATAAGAACTCAAGTTTCTCCTCATATATTAGGAAATGTATCTGTAGTACAGCCTACATCAGAGATGTTAGCAACTGATATAGGTAATATAGATGAATCAAATAGTATTAGTGAAGTTACACCTAATGAATCAATATCTGCACCTCCAGAAGAATCTTCCATCCAGATGCAAGATTTAGTACAAGAACAAGAATTTAAGAGTATTAGTTCCTCTGTAATTTCTCATTTTCATTTAGGTGAGTCTCAAACATCTCTTATAATGCCAGACAGTAGTTCAGCATTGATGAGATCCACTATATCAAGTGATGGTTTGACGGGTATCTGTTTTTCTCCACCTCGTACTAGTTCATATGAAATACCAAAAGGAGTGAGCTTACCACCTGTATCAACTATTATACGTTCGTCAGCTTTAGCTGCAGCAAAAGGCAGATTTGACAATCCTTATCCAAATCCTGATTTAAATCTTGAACTCACATCATCTTTATCAAAAACAAATTCTTTTCCTTCACTTTCTTCTCTTGATGTTCAACAAACAATTATAAATCCTCATTCTTCAGAAACTATGGTAACTTTGGCTAATTCAGTTTTAAGTGGAATGAAAGATTCATCTTCGTTAGTTGATACCAAAATTATTTGTATATCTTATTCACAAACTCCTGATAGTCATATCCCTTCGAGAGTTTGTGACAGTTCTTCCATTATGGTAACATCTGCAGCTACATCTTGTATGGGACCAGAAACAAATATACCTCATACTTTATTAGATGATCAGTCAAATTCTTCAAAAGGTTTAGGTGCAGTTACTGTAGACCATCCTTTGCATTCAACACAGGTCCATATAGATTCGCTTCATGAAGTCTCTCGAGGAAAAGTTGATGCAGATACAAGTGCTGAACTTTCTTTATCAGGTGCTGTTGCAACTTCAGATTCTACTACAACTGATGATGCGTCTGATTTTGAATGCATTTCTACCCTTCCGCATAAAGATTCAGATGCAGTTGATTCAAATATATCACATCACATGGATCAGATTTGTCAAGTAGAATCTACCACTGTTATTCATTCTGTTTCTGATCAAGATGTTACCTCAGAAGAATCTACATCAAATATTTCAAGATCTCATTCTAGCCATATTACACAACTTCCTGAACTTATTAGAGTAGTTTCTAGTTCTAGAAATGTACAACATATGACAGTTCAAACTGGAAATCAAACCCTACCATCTCAAGTATCTACTTCTATCCCTCCAATAAGAACTTTACTAGCATCTCAACAAATTAAACCATCTTCTTCACCTTTTTCAACATCACCAAATTCTGGATCTTTAGCAGAAAATAGTAATGTACAAACTCAGGAAACAGAAAAGTTGGTATCTGAGAGTGCAATGGCATCTTTAGGTATCACAATGGAACAAGATAATCCTTCTCAATCTGAAAATATTTCAGCATTTCAACTTGCAATGGAAACAGCAGTATCTACAGTATCTACTTCTAATACCTCTTCTGGAACTAGTGTTATTCAGCAGTTTTTGGCAACAGATTCCACTCAGGGAAGATTATCATCTGTTGTCCATCATCCACCAGGTGGAGTGATTGCTTCAGTAATGACAAATAAGGTTAGACCACCTGCAACAACAATCAGAAGTGATGAAAGGCATGTTCATCATTCTCAATCTGTTATTACTGCATCTACTGTTATGGATACAAATAAAGCACCAAATAGTACAATAACAGAATATCCTTTGACTTCATCATCAATGATAGATGCAGGTGATTCATCTGTTGTAACTTGTACAGAACCATCAGTTACTACAGTTTCTTCACCTGTATCAAATACTACTGATGCTGCTGTGACTTCTCCTTTGTCTAGCATTGCATCTGTGGCATTGCCTTCTACTTTGACAAATTTATCACCCAGTGCCCTAGCATTTTTACAAGCTAATTTCACAGCTCTTCAGTCCATTCCTCATACCTTACCTACAACTTTAACCACTGAAGGTGCTGTCCAGACTGGTTTGAATTCTCCTTCAGTACCAAACATTTCCCCATTATTATTACCAAGTATACCAAGTATTGTTTCAAGTGCTGTATCCACCTCTGTGCCCCCAATAAAACAAGAACCTGAAGAAAATATTGCAGTTACTTCAACTAAAACAGCTGCTGCAACTCCAACAAACAATAGTATGTATGCAGCTCTAGCTACTTTACCTTCATTATTGAAGAATGATGGTACTGTTACTGGTCCACTTCCACCATTTACTGTTGTGTCAGGTTTGTCACCAATAGTCAAACGTGAAATTGGAACATCACTTGCCAATACATTTCTTGCTACTCAAGGAACACTTCCTTCAGGTGTAATGACTATAAAACAAGAAAAACAAGAATCTGAAATAGCTACTTTGACTTCATCTGATTCAAATGCTACCCTTCCAAGCCTGGTACGTCTACCATCTATTGCTTCAGTGGGAATTTCCAAAATAGCAACAACTGGAGCAGTAACTCCATTGTCCACCTTAACTAACCCAGTGCCTTCTCAAACTTCTACGGTAACTTTCCCTTCTGTTGCTATAACTACTGCAACCAGTACATCATCATGCACAGTTGCTACACCTACAGTGCTTGTTGGAATTTCAGCAGCAACAATTACATCAGTTGCATCCAAAGATACTGCAGAGGAAGATGATAAAAAAATGTGTTGTGTTATGTGCAAAAATGGTAGTCCATGTGGATTACATCCAACTCAGACTCAAGGAACATCTTCACAAGGGCCTTTATTGTCTACCGATCCAGCAAAACCTTTTCGCTGTCAGTTATGTGGTAAACATTTGGCTTCAAAAAACGTCTATCAGTTGCACATGAGGTCTCATTCTGGTGAGAAACCTTTCACCTGTAACTTATGTGGACATCATTTTTCACAAAAGACATCTCTCACTCGCCATATGCGATCTCATACTGGTGAGCGTCCTTTCCCATGTGAAGTTTGTGGGAAACGTTTTGCAGATAAGGAAAGAATTAAAATTCACATGCGTACTCACACTGGTGAGAAGCCATTTGCATGTGAGGTATGTGGTAAACGTTTTTCACAAAAATCTACTGTCAAAAGACATATGAGTGTTCATACTGGTGAAAAGCCTTTTAAATGTGAAGTTTGTGGAAAAGGATTTGCAAACAGGGGCAATTTAAATGCCCATAGTAAAACTCATGCAAATACATAATATTTGTAGATGATACATGCAGAAGTGTGATACTATCTTCTACATTTAAAAAAAAAGGAGTTTTTATATCTGCAAATATATGTTTTACTAACTCAAATGGTCAAGATTTTGGCCTCAGCCATTCTGTGAATTTTAAGGGATCCTATTGGCTGTAAAATATTGAATTGTCAGATGACATACCTCAAAACTGCTTTAGCAGTTCACTTTTCCTATCTCTTATACACATTAATGGAAAGCATCAGAGATGGGAGTTATGGCATCTGTGTTTCACCTGGCTAGTATTGTTACTTTATAGGTGACTAAATTAAGATACTGTATTATAGATGATGTTGATCTGTAACCTGTTGTCCACTTCAAGTGAACAATTGGTGATTTGTCACTACTGAGTGGTTGGCAAGTACAAAGTGATGTTTGTTGCAATATCTTAAGAAGGTTTTTAAGAAAATTCAGTAATGTCTTCTGTATACCTGTTTATGTGAGAATTGTCACTAATACATTGATGCACATATCTAGCACATGTCAAGCAAATAGAATATTGAACTGTGACTTAAAGAAACACTTTCAAGTGAAAATATTTTTGTTTTCTCAGAAATAATCAGGGTATTTCGAATATATATAGTCATGATATGTATCTATATATATATACATATAATACATAAATGCAAAAATTATATAGTATATATGTATATATATAATATAGAAAGAAGAGAGAAATGATTGATAACAGATTGTTGAAGTTGTTGGTTTTATAGCTTTTGAGCCAGGTAATGGCATTTATGCTTTAATTTATGAATGGTAATAAGTAGATTATAAATTCAATAGCTATTTCCATGTTAAAATGTTCAAATCATGCACATAGTATTAGATAAAATTTTAAAATAATTTGTTTATGAAAAAATTTCAATGAATAGTGACCTATTTTGTTGCCATTCCAAGCACAGAATTCAGATTTATTAATGTTAAATGAAATTTCTTAATTGTTACATTTTAGGCTATTGATTGTTGTTACAGTGCAGATCATGATGTTTAATGCATTAGTTCTCATAAATAGGGAGAGCTGTTTAATAAAATTCTGAAATTAAACATGCTCAAAAATTATGCAAAAACTTTAAATTCGATAGTACATTTTTATATTTGTTGTTATTTTTTAAAGTTTTCCTTATTTAAATTATATATATATATAAATATCTATATTTATGTATCATTTTAAAATTAAATTTATGAGAACCTCTTGTTAGCAGCATCATGAAGTACTGTCTGATACCTTACCTGGTGTACAGATTGTACAGATGTTGAGATAGAATGGATTTGGTTAAGAATTTAATAGTTATTAGATAGAACAACTGGTGTTAGTATAAAGATACTGGTTGTTAGCCAAAATTGCTGAATAAATCTTACTTTGCACATTTATTTTGTGCCCTTTTTATAATATAAGGTTCTAAACACTATTAGCAGCAGACTGATAACCAGTTATCTGAAGACTAATACTGGATATTAGGCAATTATCTTCCCTGCCTGTACAAAATTACTCTTAACAGGCATAGATACTGGCAACCCATATGCACATGTTAAGTTTTCATTGTAAATTTATGTACAAAGTATAACAGAGTGAGAGAGAGAGAGAGAGAGCTTATATATCCAGATGTTTTGTTTATATAAATATATAAATATATATATATATATCACACATATACACACACATACAAGCATACACACATAACACATACCACCTCCATCCAGGGACTTGGCCCTTTTTACATATGAAAATTAGTATATAGTGCACTAATTTGTGTTGTTTTGGGGAACTGCCAGTATATTAGTGGATAATACAGCCCGAAGCTGTTGGATGCAGACCATTGAGCCTTAACTGGAAACTGGAATTTATTTTGTGTTCAAGTTAAATTTTAGTAGCATGATTTTAAAATATAATTTGTTCAGAGTTTAATATAATTAAAAATATCATATAATCAACTTCTTTATCAGAGTTATATTATTATTTTGGTCATTGCACCAAATGTTTCTCTATTGTAGATCGGTTGATTGTATAGATATCTTGATACATGTTATTACAAATTATATTATATGTTGTAACTAAAGAATAGCCTTTATGGCAATCATAAAGAATTGTTATTAATATTTTCACTGCTGACAATCAGCAGAAAAGTTTTATTGTATATCTTTCCTCTGAAAATCTTAAATTCACAGTTTTTTGACAATGATATATCATTGTCTATCTTTTTGCACACATTATTGCCTGTACTTTAACATCTACTTCTGTACTGATCATTGAATGTTTGCAGAAAAATAATTGCAGAAGCACCATTAAATTTCTCTTCATCAAGTTTACATTTCTTGTTTTCAATTTGTATATATTTGACAGTGTTCTAAACAAACAGTTACATTAGTGAACATATATTTTTTTCTCAAACTTTCATTCCCAAAACTTAAAGATTTTTGTGTTCTCATTCTGAATCCCTCATGAAATGGCTGTTGAGCCATGTTTGCACCTTGCCTTCCCTACAGAAGTCAAAGAAAGTTATACATAAATGAAATATTTTTTGTTATAATATTTTGAAATTTTAACTTGTGCAATACAGTAGAATAGAAAATAATAATATAGGAAATAAATATTAAGTTTTAGAAAAATTAAATCTTGGATATAGTGATTTTTTTATTTTTTAAATATTTTTATTAAATATTATTTATATTTATCAAAAAGTAAAATATTTTACAAACATTTATTACTTGTTACAAATTCCATAAAACATTTATGTTTTAAATTTATATTACTGAATTTTACTTAAAATATGGTATAAATTACATTATATATATTTTTAATCATTTTTAGAGTCGAAAAGTTTTAAAATTTAATTATGTAATTCTCATATATTGTATAAGTTGTTATCTTATGTGCCCCATAAAGTATGAACATAATATAACAATTCTTAAAAATAATTTGAAAATTATTAATTTTACAAAATTAAAATATTTTTTAATGGGAGTTTTTGCATTTTATTATAATGGGGGAGTAATCCCTTGTATTTTATGGCATTACTATTGATGCATTTAAAATAAATAAATTAATATATTGAGTTCTTTTTTAAAATTTCATTTTAAATTCATAACAATAGAGGGAAAAATTATATTTAAAAACTTCAAGATACATTCTGTAAAAAATTTTAATTTATATTTTATAACAAGCAATATTGTAATAATCTATATTTAAAATTATAATATAAATATAACAAAAATCATTATTTGGGGCATTTAGAACATTAAAGTTTATGAAGAATAAAATAATTAAACTGATAAACATTATTATTATTATTATTATTATACAGTATATATGAATGCATGTTTTAATCTTTAGAAAAATATAATTGTTTTTATAAAAAACATTAGCATTTTAAAATATAACTTAAAAATAAATGTTAAAAAATACTCTATTGATTTCAGATATATTATCTCATCCTATTCTAATGAATATCCATGTCAAAAGAGAAATTATTCTAATTATAAAGTTAAAAATGGAGATTTTATTAAAAACGTGAATTATATCCTGTATAATGAAATAAACTATAACAGACTTTGAGTTTACTTATTAATAAAAACGAAAACAAAAAGCATATTATAGCATTTAAACACTTCAACTGAAATAAAAATACATTTTAAATGTAAAATTCTTTAATTTGCGCTTAAATTATTTTTAAAAATTTCAAATATTTAATTTATTAAACTTTAATAAAAAGCACACTGTATTGCATTTTAATAGCTGAATTATTTTGCATATATTTCACTTCAATATAATGTCCTTGATTCGATTATGTATTTTTAAAAAATGAATTGAAATTTGATAAATAAATCATTCGTCAAAATAATCGAACGCAACAATATATCCTACAAAATAATGAAAGCAAATATTATATTACGAAGTCCACTTGTTTCGAACTATTTTTAAACTTTCGTTTTAGATTTTTCTAATATGATTTTAAAAAATTATCATTAGATAATGATTTCAATTAAAAAACTTCAGCTACTGAAAAATCGTTTACATATAAGTAATCTCGATGATGATATTATTAAGGAAGATATTTTTGTTCAGGTAGGTCAATTAAAATAATAATTTTCTATAAAGTTTTAAACAATAACTACAAAATTACGAATTAAAAAAAAAGTTTACATAACTTGAATAGATTATCGATAAAGAAAGAGTCATTAAATTTTCAGTTGTTGGTAAGTTATATTTTCAAAGTAATTTTAAAAGCTTTATAAAAAAAATAGTCCATTAATTTATATATTATTTACTAAATTGTGAAAATCTGTTCGGACTTTGAGTTATAAATTAAAACCGTATAAAATTCTCTTACGCATTTATGCTTAACTTGCGTTTTCTTATTTTTCTCGATAAAATTTAGAAATCATATATAAAGTTATCAAAGGATATTTTTAAAATACAGGTAATTTTTTACATGAATTATTCGAAGCCTTATATCGTATATTGAGTTGGTTAAAACCAAATTCATAAAATCCAATTTAAATACTTAGAAAACAAAGATTTTCGCTTGAGGAATTGTAATTCAATCATGGAATAAATTTACGTTAAATATTTTATTACAGGAATTTTTGTCTGAATGGAAATTTTTTTCGATATCTTGAATACTTGTATAATAAATTGTTCGTTCTTTTAGGTTTAACTAAGGATTATTTACTGATTTTGACTGTTATAAATTTTTGCAAGACATGTTTGTGTAACAGGATACCCAGCTGGAAAAGAGGATGCGCCTTGCTGAGGAAAGTCCCGTTAACTGATATAATAATTAACAAAAGTAAAAAACAAATTGTCATCAATCAGAATCGAGAAAATAAGCGTTTATATTTATTAATATTACCTAATTTACCCGGATTTGTTTGGTATGAATGGTGTGACTTTCTGCATGCGTTTAAAATGGAATTTTCTAAACCGCTCCGTGATTCTTATAAAATTATTCATGGAGTATCAAAGTAAATAAATTTTGCTATGCTTTTAATATAAGTAATGATAAAATTTTAATATTAAAATCTACATCAAATAGTTTATTTCTGTTGGAAATTTTAAAAATCATAAATTGTAATTTTTAATTTTATCATCATCATAAAGTTATTATTCAGAAATTATAATACATATGTATTGCTTTAAAAATGAAATGGAAAAAAAATTTAGTAACTTCTAATAATAATAATTCAAAATCCATATACAGTATCTATTTTTTTTTTCAATATGTACACCACTCCAGGTATATACCACAAATCACGTATTACAGATAAAATTCCGACAATAACTGGGACGTCCTTACAGAAGTAACCATCAGAAGACAGTAGATAAATGTTGATGCCGAACAGTGCCGTAACTAGGCAGGTGCAACAGGTGCACCCGCACAGGGCCCACTTGGAAGGGGAGCCCAAAATGCATGTATTTGTTTTATTATTCTCCCAAACCTAATTAATTAAGGAGACTAATTGCAAATTCTTGCACAGGGCACAGGAATAGCTAGTTACAGCACTGATGCCAAAGATTTTATGGAAGACTATGCTTTTCTTCTGTACTTTTTGCAAAGTGGAAAGATAGTATAATAGATCTTGACGTCTGGATAGCCAAGCTATTTGGGCACTCTGGAAATCCGAAATGGAATTCGGGCGGGTCGAAAAACCCCAGTAATTTTTGAGGTAAAGCCCTGACATATCCGTTAGGATATATCAGGGTAATTATCCTGACATGGTGAAGGATCAGGGTAATTATCCTGACAACCGGATCCTGACATATGGTGAAGGATCAGGGTAATTATCCTGACAACCGGATGGTGAAGGATGAGCCCTGACATATCCGTTAGGATATCTCAGGGCTCATCCTTCACCATCCGGTTGTCTCATTGTGCTCTGGCCGAATATATATTGCGCTTTAGTGATCACAGAGCGGGAAGAATTAAATTAAAGTAACGGCTCTTGAACTAGAATATTTAGCAAGCAATACAATTAAACAATTTTATGTTGTTATTTAATATAAATTACAGATCATTAATATGAATACAATTTTTATAGATATCTTCAAGTGTATTCTTACTTTGATTACGAAAAAATAAAATCGTATTCCAGATTAAATGATGATGATAAAGAACGTAAAATAATTCCAATTAATCGTTTTGGTCAAAATATTAATGAAAATTGCATTTTTACTTTATATTTACCCGATCCTACAGTACCAGATATATCTGATCAATTATTTTTTCTTTCTCTCCATTCTTCGTAAGTAAATTGAAATAACTGCAAAAATTGCTGATAGAACTGAATCATGTTTGTAATTCAAAATATGATTTATTTCGTAAACTAGAAATATATTTGATTATTTTGTTATAAAATAGTTAAATATTTCTGAATAAACATTTTGAAATAATTATCTAGATGTATTACGTTTCCATTGAATGGAATAAAGCCAGTTCCGATTTTGGATATCGGAACCAGTTTACTGATAAAAAGAACAACTTGTGAATTAACTCATTTACGAAAATGTAATTCGGAAGTAAAAATGTCTGAATCTTTTAATTTGCGTTCTTATGTCTATGCGTCTTTGGAAGATTTAACTCCTAGTTTTATAGAGAGAAAATATTATTTATCTCCTAATTTAAACTCCTCTTTCGATATTTGGATGTTCGACGAAAATCCTTTGCTTTCTTTTATTGGATACAGTTCGAATCGGCTGAGTCGACGATTAATGTATAAAGATAGAATTAAAATAATGAGGTAAGAATGTTTGCATTTTAAGACAGATGTGGAAGTGAAATTTGAAAATTCATAATATGAGCTAACATTCATTTTTGCGAATGTTTAGAATGCATTTTATAAATTCGACATCGAAACAATGGACTCGTGAAAAAATACAGTCTATACAATATAAAATCAATAAAGGTAAATAATTTTTTTACTGAAATTTTTTAATTTTAAAAATAAATCTATAAAATAAAATGTAATGGAAATCTAATATTTCTATAGCTGTAGGTCGCGCTTTTTTTGCTTCATTATAAAAGATTTATTCTTAAAAATATTTACCGTCATGTAGTGTATGTGATGGTTTTTGAGTTTTCATTCTCCACCCTGTGGACACACAACCTTTCTAATCAAGATTATCGTGGGTTTGGCCAGGTCCACAATGGGAGCGACCGGTATTGAGGGACAATGTTCGAAATATTTGGGACGAACCTCCCATGAAAAATTCCTGCAGTTTTCCGACCACCTGGATTCAAACTAGTTTCCCAGAACGATAGATTGATGCCTTCGCTGCATCAGTCATCCGGCTGACCTAAACATTAGATACATTCCAATATGCATCAAACGGCGCATCGGTGACCGTGATGTAGTAAAATGTGTCCGATATTCGCCAATGAGTTCATCGGTGCAGCGACTCACCATATCCACATCGCACTCATCGGCTGTGGATATGGTGAGCTCTGATGAAACAAAATGGCCGCTTCGTGGTTATATAATTAGTACCATTAATACCATTTTTACTACTCGCATGTATTTAATCATAATTTATTTTGACAAAATAAGTGTGCAATAGCCAATGTAGCGCTGTTCGCTTCTGGCATCTTGTCGGGTTGCCAGATGTTCCAGTAAAAGCTTATTAAATCGTTTACCAGTGCATCGTTGTGGCTCAAATTGATGCATACTGAAATGTACCCATTAATTCTGTTGAATTCAAAGTGATTTTGAACTAGTTTGAAAACCGATTTGGCATCTGATATTTAACCAGTTTTGGTAAAAACCATTTTTTAACTAATTTCAAGGACTAGCTTGATGGTATAAGACAATTTGGACGATCTGACAAGGGAGAACTTTTTATGGGAGGCTGACTCATATCTACACGTAAAGAAAACGAGGAAAACGTCACGCTGTCACCTCTGTTGTTGATGCGCGAATTCACGACTAACTATTAATGGTTTAGTTCAGTTGGCCACTGGCCAATCTAAAGAATTTTCTGTTTTTGTCAGTAGTTGTCCCATTATACTCTATGCTATAAATCAGACGAAATTCGTATTTTTTAAACTACAAAATATATCCATATAATTTCTACACACTCAAAACTATTGTCATAGATGTGTAAGTACAGTAGAGCCTCGATTATTCGACCCCCGATTAACCGACCGTCCTAGTCTGCAAATTCAAATGTCCGCTAGTGATGTGGCGCTACAATATTTGGCTATGTCTTGGTTACTTTAATATTATTTTTACGTGTTTAGCTGGCAACACTCATTCGACATGAAAGGGAGCCAGTATTTAAATGAGGCTTAATTTTCTAATTTTTAACGATGCAATAGCGACGATTATTATTTTAAAAAAATTGTTGTTAGGCTTAACATCGATGAAAATTCAATGCGAAGTAGATTAATAGCGATATACTAATTACATGGGATATAATAATATACTACACTAATAATGGATTTTTTCATACTTTTCGGTTATCCAACTTTTCAATTATCCGACCAACCCCAGTCCCCAATTGAGTCGGATAATCGAGGCTCTTCTGTAGTAGCAATCAGCAATAAGTTGACCATTCTACTAACTGTAAAGCATACAAGTTTCTAATATATTGCAACATTTTAATTTGTACAATTATTATGGATTATACACATGAATATACTAATTTTAAAAGCATTTGTGATACATGGTTTTTCTTTTTTGTTTAAACTTTTTCCGTCCTGTGGGCACAAGAGGGCCTCTTTTTAGCATGCCCATTATGGGTTCCGCCAGGCCCACAATGGGGTGGCCGGATGGCGAGGGACGGGGTTTGACATATCCGAACGGATCACCTCCCGAAATTCCTGGGGATTTTTCGTCCAGATTCGATCCCGGGTCTCCCAGAACGGTAGGCTGCCACTTTGACCCTCGGCCATCCGGGCGTCAGTGATACATGGTTTGAGGCCCACCAGTGGCCAAGCGGTCTTCGTATCCTGAACACTGGGAATTCGGTCGTGGGTTCGCGCCTCGTTCGGACGGGCTGGCCACGCGGAGTTTTCCGGGTTTTCTCCACGTCTCTAACGCTTAAATAGGGGCCAGTTTCCCTTAAAAAGACCTCCCGGAAGGCATCCCCCCATAGGCAGATCGCCCAAGTGTTGCATTGCCATAAATTAACAATCGATGCATGGTTTGATAGGTATAAGAATCTATTGCTTTTTATTTGAGTTTACAGACGTGCAGAGAATTAGAATTAATTAAAATTTTTGACAGTATTTTGTAGTTTCATCTTTCGGTATGATTTAGCCCATTTAGTTTTTAAAATTGGTATATCACTATTGTTTGTTTAGTTAAGTTATGGCAACGCAACACTTGGCCCATCTGCCTAGAGGAATGCCTTACGGGAGGTCTTTTTAAGAGTAACTGGTCCCTATTCAGGCGTTACAGACGTGGAGAAAACCCGGAAAACCACGTGGCTAGTAAGTAACTCACGATCGAACTCTGTGTTCAGGAAACGGAACCGTTGGCCATTGGTGGGCCTCGGTATATCAAAAAAAGCTTCCAATATAAAATGGCACAAACAAAGATAAGATAAAATTTTAAGAATTAATATCAAATTAGTGTAAGCTATGTTTTTAAATATAATCACAATAAATGATTCAAACTGTTTGAAATTCGTCTCTCTCTCTTGACTTGAACCTTTTTATCAAACCTATTATGGGTTCGNTGATGTTTAATGCATTAGTTCTCATAAATAGGGAGAGCTGTTTAATAAAATTCTGAAATTAAACATGCTCAAAAATTATGCAAAAACTTTAAATTCGATAGTACATTTTTATATTTGTTGTTATTTTTTAAAGTTTTCCTTATTTAAATTATATATATATATATAAATATCTATATTTATGTATCATTTTAAAATTAAATTTATGAGAACCTCTTGTTAGCAGCATCATGAAGTACTGTCTGATACCTTACCTGGTGTACAGATTGTACAGATGTTGAGATAGAATGGATTTGGTTAAGAATTTAATAGTTATTAGATAGAACAACTGGTGTTAGTATAAAGATACTGGTTGTTAGCCAAAATTGCTGAATAAATCTTACTTTGCACATTTATTTTGTGCCCTTTTTATAATATAAGGTTCTAAACACTATTAGCAGCAGACTGATAACCAGTTATCTGAAGACTAATACTGGATATTAGGCAATTATCTTCCCTGCCTGTACAAAATTACTCTTAACAGGCATAGATACTGGCAACCCATATGCACATGTTAAGTTTTCATTGTAAATTTATGTACAAAGTATAACAGAGTGAGAGAGAGAGAGAGAGAGCTTATATATCCAGATGTTTTGTTTATATAAATATATAAATATATATATATATATCACACATATACACACACATACAAGCATACACACATAACACATACCACCTCCATCCAGGGACTTGGCCCTTTTTACATATGAAAATTAGTATATAGTGCACTAATTTGTGTTGTTTTGGGGAACTGCCAGTATATTAGTGGATAATACAGCCCGAAGCTGTTGGATGCAGACCATTGAGCCTTAACTGGAAACTGGAATTTATTTTGTGTTCAAGTTAAATTTTAGTAGCATGATTTTAAAATATAATTTGTTCAGAGTTTAATATAATTAAAAATATCATATAATCAACTTCTTTATCAGAGTTATATTATTATTTTGGTCATTGCACCAAATGTTTCTCTATTGTAGATCGGTTGATTGTATAGATATCTTGATACATGTTATTACAAATTATATTATATGTTGTAACTAAAGAATAGCCTTTATGGCAATCATAAAGAATTGTTATTAATATTTTCACTGCTGACAATCAGCAGAAAAGTTTTATTGTATATCTTTCCTCTGAAAATCTTAAATTCACAGTTTTTTGACAATGATATATCATTGTCTATCTTTTTGCACACATTATTGCCTGTACTTTAACATCTACTTCTGTACTGATCATTGAATGTTTGCAGAAAAATAATTGCAGAAGCACCATTAAATTTCTCTTCATCAAGTTTACATTTCTTGTTTTCAATTTGTATATATTTGACAGTGTTCTAAACAAACAGTTACATTAGTGAACATATATTTTTTTCTCAAACTTTCATTCCCAAAACTTAAAGATTTTTGTGTTCTCATTCTGAATCCCTCATGAAATGGCTGTTGAGCCATGTTTGCACCTTGCCTTCCCTACAGAAGTCAAAGAAAGTTATACATAAATGAAATATTTTTTGTTATAATATTTTGAAATTTTAACTTGTGCAATACAGTAGAATCAAACTTTGACAATTAATATNATAAACTATAACAGACTTTGAGTTTACTTATTAATAAAAACGAAAACAAAAAGCATATTATAGCATTTAAACACTTCAACTGAAATAAAAATACATTTTAAATGTAAAATTCTTTAATTTGCGCTTAAATTATTTTTAAAAATTTCAAATATTTAATTTATTAAACTTTAATAAAAAGCACACTGTATTGCATTTTAATAGCTGAATTATTTTGCATATATTTCACTTCAATATAATGTCCTTGATTCGATTATGTATTTTTAAAAAATGAATTGAAATTTGATAAATAAATCATTCGTCAAAATAATCGAACGCAACAATATATCCTACAAAATAATGAAAGCAAATATTATATTACGAAGTCCACTTGTTTCGAACTATTTTTAAACTTTCGTTTTAGATTTTTCTAATATGATTTTAAAAAATTATCATTAGATAATGATTTCAATTAAAAAACTTCAGCTACTGAAAAATCGTTTACATATAAGTAATCTCGATGATGATATTATTAAGGAAGATATTTTTGTTCAGGTAGGTCAATTAAAATAATAATTTTCTATAAAGTTTTAAACAATAACTACAAAATTACGAATTAAAAAAAAAGTTTACATAACTTGAATAGATTATCGATAAAGAAAGAGTCATTAAATTTTCAGTTGTTGGTAAGTTATATTTTCAAAGTAATTTTAAAAGCTTTATAAAAAAAATAGTCCATTAATTTATATATTATTTACTAAATTGTGAAAATCTGTTCGGACTTTGAGTTATAAATTAAAACCGTATAAAATTCTCTTACGCATTTATGCTTAACTTGCGTTTTCTTATTTTTCTCGATAAAATTTAGAAATCATATATAAAGTTATCAAAGGATATTTTTAAAATACAGGTAATTTTTTACATGAATTATTCGAAGCCTTATTTCGTATATTGAGTTGGTTAAAACCAGATTCATAAAATCCAATTTAAATACTTAGAAAACAAAGATTTTCGCTTGAGGAATTGTAATTCAATCATGGAATAAATTTACGTTAAATATTTTATTACAGGAATTTTTGTCTGAATGGAAATTTTTTTCGATATCTTGAATACTTGTATAATAAATTGTTCGTTCTTTTAGGTTTAACTAAGGATTATTTACTGATTTTGACTGTTATAAATTTTTGCAAGACATGTTTGTGTAACAGGATACCCAGCTGGAAAAGAGGATGCGCCTTGCTGAGGAAAGTCCCGTTAACTGATATAATAATTAACAAAAGTAAAAAACAAATTGTCATCAATCAGAATCGAGAAAATAAGCGTTTATATTTATTAATATTACCTAATTTACCCGGATTTGTTTGGTATGAATGGTGTGACTTTCTGCATGCGTTTAAAATGGAATTTTCTAAACCGCTCCGTGATTCTTATAAAATTATTCATGGAGTATCAAAGTAAATAAATTTTGCTATGCTTTTAATATAAGTAATGATAAAATTTTAATATTAAAATCTACATCAAATAGTTTATTTCTGTTGGAAATTTTAAAAATCATAAATTGTAATTTTTAATTTTATCATCATCATAAAGTTATTATTCAGAAATTATAATACATATGTATTGCTTTAAAAATGAAATGGAAAAAAAATTTAGTAACTTCTAATAATAATAATTCAAAATCCATATACAGTATCTATTTTTTTTTTCAATATGTACACCACTCCATGTATGTACCACAAATCACGTATTACAGATAAAATTCCGACAATAACTGGGACGTCCTTACAGAAGTAACCATCAGAAGACAGTAGATAAATGTTGATGCCAAACAGTGCCGTAACTAGGCAGGTGCAACAGGTGTACCCGCACAGGGCCCACTTGGAAGGGGAGCCCAAAATGCATGTATTTGTTTTATTATTTTCCCAAACCTAATTAATTAAGGGGACTAATTGCAAATTCTTGCACAGGGCACAGGAATGGCTAGTTACGGCACTGATGCCAAAGATTTTATGGAAGACTATGCTTTTCTTCTGTACTTTTTGCAAAGTGGAAAGATAGTATAATAGATCTTGACGTCTGGATAGCCAAGCTATTTGGGCACTCTGGAAATCCGAAATGGAATTCGGGCGGGTCGAAAAACCCCAGTAATTTTTGAGGTAAAGCCCTGACATATCCGTTAGGATATATCAGGGTAATTATCCTGACATGGTGAAGGATCAGGGTAATTATCCTGACAACCGGATCCTGACATATGGTGAAGGATCAGGGTAATTATCCTGACAACCGGATGGTGAAGGATGAGCCCTGACATATCCGTTAGGATATGTCAGGGCTCATCCTTCACCATCCGGTTGTCTCATTGTGCTCTGGCCGAATATATATTGCGCTTTAGTGATCACAGAGCGGGAAGAATTAAATTAAAGTAACGGCTCTTGAACTAGAATATTTAGCAAGCAATACAATTAAACAATTTTATGTTGTTATTTAATATAAATTACAGATCATTAATATGAATACAATTTTTATAGATATCTTCAAGTGTATTCTTACTTTGATTACGAAAAAATAAAATCGTATTCCAGATTAAATGATGATGATAAAGAACGTAAAATAATTCCAATTAATCGTTTTGGTCAAAATATTAATGAAAATTGCATTTTTACTTTATATTTACCCGATCCTACAGTACCAGATATATCTGATCAATTATTTTTTCTTTCTCTCCATTCTTCGTAAGTAAATTGAAATAACTGCAAAAATTGCTGATAGAACTGAATCATGTTTGTAATTCAAAATATGATTTATTTCGTAAACTAGAAATATATTTGATTATTTTGTTATAAAATAGTTAAATATTTCTGAATAAACATTTTGAAATAATTATCTAGATGTATTACGTTTCCATTGAATGGAATAAAGCCAGTTCCGATTTTGGATATCGGAACCAGTTTACTGATAAAAAGAACAACTTGTGAATTAACTCATTTACGAAAATGTAATTCGGAAGTAAAAATGTCTGAATCTTTTAATTTGCGTTCTTATGTCTATGCGTCTTTGGAAGATTTAACTCCTAGTTTTATAGAGAGAAAATATTATTTATCTCCTAATTTAAACTCCTCTTTCGATATTTGGATGTTCGACGAAAATCCTTTGCTTTCTTTTATTGGATACAGTTCGAATCGGCTGAGTCGACGATTAATGTATAAAGATAGAATTAAAATAATGAGGTAAGAATGTTTGCATTTTAAGACAGATGTGGAAGTGAAATTTGAAAATTCATAATATGAGCTAACATTCATTTTTGCGAATGTTTAGAATGCATTTTATAAATTCGACATCGAAACAATGGACTCGTGAAAAAATACAGTCTATACAATATAAAATCAATAAAGGTAAATAATTTTTTTACTGAAATTTTTTAATTTTAAAAATAAATCTATAAAATAAAATGTAATGGAAATCTAATATTTCTATAGCTGTAGGTCGCGCTTTTTTTGCTTCATTATAAAAGATTTATTCTTAAAAATATTTACCGTCATGTAGTGTATGTGATGGTTTTTGAGTTTTCATTCTCCACCCTGTGGACACACAACCTTTCTAATCAAGATTATCGTGGGTTTGGCCAGGTCCACAATGGGAGCGACCGGTATTGAGGGACAATGTTCGAAATATTTGGGACGAACCTCCCATGAAAAATTCCTGCAGTTTTCCGACCACCTGGATTCAAACTAGTTTCCCAGAACGATAGATTGATGCCTTCGCTGCATCAGTCATCCGGCTGACCTAAACATTAGATACATTCCAATATGCATCAAACGGCGCATCGGTGACCGTGATGTAGTAAAATGTGTCCGATATTCGCCAATGAGTTCATCGGTGCAGCGACTCACCATATCCACATCGCACTCATCGGCTGTGGATATGGTGAGCTCTGATGAAACAAAATGGCCGCTTCGTGGTTATATAATTAGTACCATTAATACCATTTTTACTACTCGCATGTATTTAATCATAATTTATTTTGACAAAATAAGTGTGCAATAGCCAATGTAGCGCTGTTCGCTTCTGGCATCTTGTCGGGTTGCCAGATGTTCCAGTAAAAGCTTATTAAATCGTTTACCAGTGCATCGTTGTGGCTCAAATTGATGCATACTGAAATGTACCCATTAATTCTGTTGAATTCAAAGTGATTTTGAACTAGTTTGAAAACCGATTTGGCATCTGATATTTAACCAGTTTTGGTAAAAACCATTTTTTAACTAATTTCAAGGACTAGCTTGATGGTATAAGACAATTTGGACGATCTGACAAGGGAGAACTTTTTATGGGAGGCTGACTCATATCTACACGTAAAGAAAACGAGGAAAACGTCACGCTGTCACCTCTGTTGTTGATGCGCGAATTCACGACTAACTATTAATGGTTTAGTTCAGTTGGCCACTGGCCAATCTAAAGAATTTTCTGTTTTTGTCAGTAGTTGTCCCATTATACTCTATGCTATAAATCAGACGAAATTCGTATTTTTTAAACTACAAAATATATCCATATAATTTCTACACACTCAAAACTATTGTCATAGATGTGTAAGTACAGTAGAGCCTCGATTATTCGACCCCCGATTAACCGACCGTCCTAGTCTGCAAATTCAAATGTCCGCTAGTGATGTGGCGCTACAATATTTGGCTATGTCTTGGTTACTTTAATATTATTTTTACGTGTTTAGCTGGCAACACTCATTCGACATGAAAGGGAGCCAGTATTTAAATGAAGCTTAATTTTCTAATTTTTAACGATGCAATAGCGACGATTATTATTTTAAAAAAATTGTTGTTAGGCTTAACATCGATGAAAATTCAATGCGAAGTAGATTAATAGCGATATACTAATTACATGGGATATAATAATATACTACACTAATAATGGATTTTTTCATACTTTTCGGTTATCCAACTTTTCAATTATCCGACCAACCCCAGTCCCCAATTGAGTCGGATAATCGAGGCTCTTCTGTAGTAGCAATCAGCAATAAGTTGACCATTCTACTAACTGTAAAGCATACAAGTTTCTAATATATTGCAACATTTTAATTTGTACAATTATTATGGATTATACACATGAATATACTAATTTTAAAAGCATTTGTGATACATGGTTTTTCTTTTTTGTTTAAACTTTTTCCGTCCTGTGGGCACAAGAGGGCCTCTTTTTAGCATGCCCATTATGGGTTCCGCCAGGCCCACAATGGGGTGGCCGGATGGCGAGGGACGGGGTTTGACATATCCGAACGGATCACCTCCCGAAATTCCTGGGGATTTTTCGTCCAGATTCGATCCCGGGTCTCCCAGAACGGTAGGCTGCCACTTTGACCCTCGGCCATCCGGGCGTCAGTGATACATGGTTTGAGGCCCACCAGTGGCCAAGCGGTCTTCGTATCCTGAACACTGGGAATTCGGTCGTGGGTTCGCGCCTCGTTCGGACGGGCTGGCCACGCGGAGTTTTCCGGGTTTTCTCCACGTCTCTAACGCTTAAATAGGGGCCAGTTTCCCTTAAAAAGACCTCCCGGAAGGCATCCCCCCATAGGCAGATCGCCCAAGTGTTGCATTGCCATAAATTAACAATCGATGCATGGTTTGATAGGTATAAGAATCTATTGCTTTTTATTTGAGTTTACAGACGTGCAGAGAATTAGAATTAATTAAAATTTTTGACAGTATTTTGTAGTTTCATCTTTCGGTATGATTTAGCCCATTTAGTTTTTAAAATTGGTATATCACTATTGTTTGTTTAGTTAAGTTATGGCAACGCAACACTTGGCCCATCTGCCTAGAGGAATGCCTTACGGGAGGTCTTTTTAAGAGTAACTGGTCCCTATTCAGGCGTTACAGACGTGGAGAAAACCCGGAAAACCACGTGGCTAGTAAGTAACTCACGATCGAACTCTGTGTTCAGGAAACGGAACCGTTGGCCATTGGTGGGCCTCGGTATATCAAAAAAAGCTTCCAATATAAAATGGCACAAACAAAGATAAGATAAAATTTTAAGAATTAATATCAAATTAGTGTAAGCTATGTTTTTAAATATAATCACAATAAATGATTCAAACTGTTTGAAATTCGTCTCTCTCTCTTGACTTGAACCTTTTTATCAAACCTATTATGGGTTCGGCTTAGTGTCGCCCACTCCGAAAAAATACCTGAGAGTTTTAGACCCATCCGGATTCGGGCCCGTTATAGCTGTAGACTGAAACCTTATTCCTTTGGCCATCCGACCATCGAAATTATTTGACTGACGAAAATATATTGCTTATTAATTTATTTATATCTATTAATTTATGATTGATTAATTTATTATTCATTTTACTGACAAAATGATTGTCATTGACGTTCGAATGGTTGAACGTTTAAGGTTACAGCCCATCTTTGGGTGATCGAAAACCCCAGGAATTTTTTGGAGGGTGATTCGTCTGTATATGTTGGGCCTCATCTCTTACCACTCGGCTGTCCATTGTGGGCCTAGCCGAACCCATAATGGGCTTGCTAAAAAACAGATTTCCTAGTGCCCACATGGCGGAAAGAATTACAAAAAAATCAAGTGATTCTAATTTTGTTGCAATCAAGATGTTAGGAAATATAAATTTTTAATATTATTCGACACATTTATATAGAACATCTTAAGAGTTTACTCTTCATCCACATCGTTCATGGCTACACCCAAAGGTAACAGAGGTAAATGTAAGTTTGCGCGTTCTAATTTTGGGTCTCATATTGTCGGTTCTAATTATTCTACTGGAACAAATATCCTTAAGATGTCGAACCATTACATTATGTCTTCCAGCGTCTTCGTAGAATAAATCTGGATTCCCATTTGTTTTCGTGAATAGTATTGGTATAAGTGGCATTCCTTATACTTCATCCATAATTGTAACAACCTGTATGATACAGGTTTTTACAATTATATTCACGGAATGAATATAATTGAATAGAGAAATATATGGAAAGAGGCAGGCGGAATAGCGTTTATACGTGCTATGCATCGGATTAAGTAATCAGTTCTTAAGTTATATGTTGAAATTGAAATTTTTACAAAATATATTTTACATAACTAATATAAATGTACATTAAATATTATTTTTTCCAGCCATAAAACTGATATATTCATGTATTCAGTCTAAACTAGAGAAGAATATATATTTGAAAAACAACAAAATATTACATCTAGCGTGGATAAATGAAATCGATGAAAATGTACTTTTTAAGAAAAGATATGAACTTACTAAATCATCAACATCAGTCAATCAGTCACTCCAAATTTTGGATATGCCTACAAAATTGTTAGCAAATGAAATCACGTTAATTGATACAAATTTATTTTTATCTCTTAGAGCAGAAGAACTTGCCAGATTAATATTTAAACCATCATCAGTTAATTCGGTAACAATATCTAAATTTTTAAAGTTGTATGTATATATGTAGAGAGAATGATGATAAATCTTGTGAGAATATATGTATACATAACCTGAAATAAATAAATATATATTTTCAGATAACTTGTCCCAACTTATGTCAGTTATTGAAATTTTACTTAAAAATATCTCATTTAGTAAGCTATCAAATTGTTCAATCAAATTTAAGAAAACAAAGAGTGAAGGTTATATTGAAAGTAATCGAGGTATTTATTTAAAATTACAGTTTTTAAATATAATCACAATAAATGATTCAAACTGTTTGAAATTCGTCTCTCTCTCTTGACTTGAACCTTTTTATCAAACCTATTATGGGTTCGGCTTAGTGTCGCCCACTCCGAAAAAATACCTGAGAGTTTTAGACCCATCCGGATTCGGGCCCGTTATAGCTGTAGACTGAAACCTTATTCCTTTGGCCATCCGACCATCGAAATTATTTGACTGACGAAAATATATTGCTTATTAATTTATTTATATCTATTAATTTATGATTGGTTAATTTATTATTCATTTTACTGACAAAATGATTGTCATTGACGTTCGAATGGTTGAACGTTTAAGGTTACAGCCCATCTTTGGGTGATCGAAAACCCCAGGAATTTTTTGGAGGGTGATTCGTCTGTATATGTTGGGCCTCATCTCTTACCACTCGGCTGCCCATTGTGGGCCTAGCCGAACCCATAATGGGCTTGCTAAAAAACAGATTTCCTAGTGCCCACATGGCGGAAAGAATTACAAAAAAATCAAGTGATTCTAATTTTGTTGCAATCAAGATGTTAGGAAATATAAATTTTTAATATTATTCGACACATTTATATAGAACATCTTAAGAGTTTACTCTTCATCCACATCGTTCATGGCTACACCCAAAGGTAACAGAGGTAAATGTAAGTTTGCGCGTTCTAATTTTGGGTCTCATATTGTCGGTTCTAATTATTCTACTGGAACAAATATCCTTAAGATGTCGAACCATTACATTATGTCTTCCAGCGTCTTCGTAGAATAAATCTGGATTCCCATTTGTTTTCGTGAATAGTATTGGTATAAGTGGCATTCCTTATACTTCATCCATAATTGTAACAACCTGTATGATACAGGTTTTTACAATTATATTCACGGAATGAATATAATTGAATAGAGAAATATATGGAAAGAGGCAGGCGGAATAGCGTTTATACGTGCTATGCATCGGATTAAGTAATCAGTTCTTAAGTTATATGTTGAAATTGAAATTTTTACAAAATATATTTTACATAACTAATATAAATGTACATTAAATATTATTTTTTCCAGCCATAAAACTGATATATTCATGTATTCAGTCTAAACTAGAGAAGAATATATATTTGAAAAACAACAAAATATTACATCTAGCGTGGATAAATGAAATCGATGAAAATGTACTTTTTAAGAAAAGATATGAACTTACTAAATCATCAACATCAGTCAATCAGTCACTCCAAATTTTGGATATGCCTACAAAATTGTTAGCAAATGAAATCACGTTAATTGATACAAATTTATTTTTATCTCTTAGAGCAGAAGAACTTGCCAGATTAATATTTAAACCATCATCAGTTAATTCGGTAACAATATCTAAATTTTTAAAGTTGTATGTATATATGTAGAGAGAATGATGATAAATCTTGTGAGAATATATGTATACATAACCTGAAATAAATAAATATATATTTTCAGATAACTTGTCCCAACTTATGTCAGTTATTGAAATTTTACTTAAAAATATCTCATTTAGTAAGCTATCAAATTGTTCAATCAAATTTAAGAAAACAAAGAGTGAAGGTTATATTGAAAGTAATCGAGGTATTTATTTAAAATTACAGTTTTTAAATATAATTTTATATTTATTTATAATTTATTTATAATTTATATTATTTATAATTTGAATTTTTATTTAAGTGGGCTGATGAATGTTACAAGAAAAACAACAAACATTCTGCAAGTGCTATCATATCCGGCTTGCTCAGTCCTCCAGTAATTCGATTAAAAGCAACTTGGAGAAATTTACGAGAAGAGTATCCACAATACATAAGGTATATATATTGCCTTATGGTCAAACACGATTGTATAATTTATATTTAAAACATGAAATAATATTTTATGTTATTTAGAAAACTGGAAGAATTTCAAAACATCCCGCATTGTTTACAGGATAAAACTGAAATTCCGTTACTTTGTGACATTCTTAATGTTTATCGCGCAACATCACAATATAAATCGGTGAAAACTTGGAATACATGGAAGAGACCGGTGAATGTTCCAAGTTAGTGATTTTATCCTAATATTTTTTTCAATGGGTATGATATAGCTCATTTTTTCACAGCTATATTTTGTTTTCGATTAAAATCGAATATTGTTTATAAATATATACGTACTTCAAATTATTACAAAATCATAATTATTAAACGTCCACCTCACCTTCCAGCACTGTCCTTAGCAGGTAGTTTCTTCTCAAGACTTGCCCCATTACGAAAAAATGATCTCTCTCTCAAAAATTAATCTATAATAGAATAGAAAACATAAACATTTATTAAATAGAGGTTTATTTACTTTTATTGTAATTATTTTCAATTCCATTAACACAGTATAATATTTTAATAACAATTTATGGAAATATTGGCTGATGATTTTAATAATTTCAAAACATAGCGCCTGTATTTACGTCTGTCTTTATAGCAATGCACAATGTGTTAAGATTCTCGATAGTCCAAAGCTATAATTTATAAAGTTTTTGTTGTTAAAATGATTGCAAGTAAAGAAGCTTCTAGATGTCTATAAAATAGAAAAAATATTTTAAAAATGTCAAAATATTTCTATTTTGACATTCTCGCTCTCAAACGAAAATAATATATAAAGTCGTTTATTGTTTCTCTTGTGAAATATATGAATATTTAATACGAATTATATCTGTGCGAATTTTTGATATCATATTCGAAGAATGGTTTATATATTTAGTAATAATAGCCATTCGTTTATAGTAGAATTGTTGACAATGGATTGAAAATACGTTTAACTGCAAATCATAAATACGTTACATTTTATGATTTTTAAATATTTGATGATGTGTATTATTGCATTGAGAATTTTTAAAGCCTGATTTAAGTTCCTACTCTAGCTTCTAGCGACTTCTCGTATGGAGAAAACACGTCACAATCGTGCTTCGCAAAGCTATGCGAACAAGTTGAAATGACGATTATGACATCAAATTGACGTTATTTCGCTGTATGCACAAGTCGCTAGACGCTACACGCAAGAACTTAAATCCGGTTTTAAGGAAAACATAGAAGAGATAATTAAAGTATTTTTCTTTCAAAAATAGTATAGAAAATGACACTATTTGAATGTCACTCTCTTTAAAATACAATAACAACTGTTTGCTGATTATATATAAATACTAGCAGATCCCGCCACGCGTTGTTGTGGCTCAAAATGTATCTATTATAAATGTATAACACTTCCCCCGTGGGAGGGAAATTTTCCGAAAAATCCCTTCTTAGTGTACAGTCTCTTGACGTACCCTATTAAAACGCAATCAAAAACGCAAAAAACCGCATCTAAAATAGTATAATAGAAGCCAAGTTCTTCACGGTAAGCCTTAATCCTGTCCATCTCCCGGGGGGATTTCGACACGTATATTATATAAAAACAAGTGCGTATTCGACTGCAGCGTTGTGTCAAAATTTCAAAGGAATCGGTAGGAACAAATGAACATTACATTTTTATTTATATAGATAGATAGAAGATGATCTGCTTTAGTTCATCCTCACAGAAAAGCATAATGTCTCACAGAAAAGCAAACTTAAATCATCCATCGTACTCGTAGCGCCATCTGTTGGACATAAACTTCTTAACCCTAGATGATATTTTTTAATTTATATGAATGTTTAATAGATAATATACAGCCTATGTCCACCGTGAAGTTCTATTCTAAGTATTGGTGAAAGAATTTTTTGAAATCGGATGAGTAGTTTCGGATATTACCTCCTACATCCGAACTTACAAACATTACCTCTTTATAATATTAGTATAGATCAAGGGTGGGCGACCTTTTTTATAACATGGGCCAGAATAAATTTTACGTTTTTTCCGCGGGCCATAGTAGTTAATTGACACCTTGTGACCTGTAAATTTTTAGTCTGCAAATATGAAATAAATAAATAAATAAATAAAAAGAAATTAATTACTACAGTCGACCCCCCTATAACACTGTTGATTATTCCGTTTTATATGAATTCCATGTTGTATGAGTCACTTAGATTTTACAAATGCGTGTGCCGGGCTGTGAACGGCTCACCTATTTGTAAAATCTAAGTGACTTTAAACACAATAAAAACAGCACTATGTAGTTGGATACGACAGACATTACATTTTCTAATTGCATAGCTTTTGCACATAGATTTTCTTGATGGATGATGCGATGAGATATAAATAATTTAGAAAAATTCTGTTCTCCCATTTTTTGTTTGAATAAGGAAATGACTCCCTTATTTTTTCCTGTCATTGCTGCCGCAACACTTCAGAAAATAATATTCAATTTAAACTAGACGAATTACATCGAAAAATATTTATTTATAATTTCTTCTAAACATCTCGCGGGCCGGATAGAAACTCTTCGCTGGCCGTAGCTGGCCCGCAGGCCGGGGGTTGC